GAGGAGTATAGTGGGGTCAGGGCAACACTGAAACCCTGTCTCTGATGTGTGACAGGGCAGGTCTAATCCAGAGCAGCAGCTGATCACATAATATATATTCACTTTCAAAAAAAAAAAAAAAAAAGTTTTTCCCTCTTCCTTCTGAAACCAATTTGCCTATTTTCCAAAATACAGCATTGGGATGAATCACCTGAAATTAATGTCAGGGAGATTTCTGAATTGTGATACAGCCCCTTCTCTAGGAGAACAGCCCAGGAAATCATAGTGGAGCTCAGCCAGGAAATGCAAGGAGATGAATGTGATGAGCTGAGCAGAGCATGGGTTTGAACATGTTGGCAACAAAGTGGTAGGAAGATGGATAAATATTTTGGATAAACAGGATTGTGCTCCACATCATAGATGTTGTTCGTAACTTTAGTCTGTGCTTTCTTGGCCTGTCACTCTTGACAACTCAGTCATAAAACAGCTCTCTGGAATACACTGCTCAAATTAATCAGCTCCGAGTTATTTTCCTTTTAAAACTAATAACAGGAGGTCTGCACAGACCTGTGAGAGACATGGGAATGTGAATTGTGCAGCTGCAAATGTTTCCATACTGCTGCAACTTTCGGTTGCTTTTTGCTCTCCACTGAGAGGGCATGAAATAGCATTGCAGGGAGCTGTTCTTGAATTGTCAGAATTGTCCAACTGTTCCCAGCATGTCTATAACATGGTAAATATTCAATGATGCCTTTCAACTTTTAAGCATGTTTGAAAGGGGGAGTGTTCTGGTCACAAACCAGCAAGCTCAGCTGGACAGGAGCACCAGAGGATTTGATGGCTTGTATCCTTTCTGTGCCAGCTGCACAAGGGAATGCCAAATTGTGTTCTTGCCATTGGCAGAAGTTTTAGCCTTCAATTCATCTTCTTGTTATCAAACTGCAACAAAACAGGGAGAAAAAAAAAAAAAAAAAAGTCCAACAGGGGAACAGTGCCTCTGACAGACAGGGAAACAGGCCTCCTTTGAACAGCCCCACACATGCAACAGCTTGGCTCCAAGCTGGCACAGGGGATTAACACTTCATGAGGTCTTAACCCAAAATAAGAGCCAGCCATGGATGAAAGCCAAGTGTGCCACACTCCACTAACTCCTGAGGGTACTTTGTTGTCGTCATGTGAGCTTTAGGAACAACTGGGAGGCTCTGTTCAACAGAGCTCAGGGTTGAAGTGCATTTGCAAAGTCTGCAGAGGTAACGAGAGCAGCACCTGCCTCTCCCAGGTCTGCCTGCAGCTAGTACTGCCACAGAGCTTGGTCTCCATTGGCAATAGCTTCACTTGCAGCCTGGAGAAACTAAAAAAGCCTCTCAGGTTTTTAGTTGCAAGATGAAATTTAAATCCCAGACCGGAAGCCTTAATTATAACGGATTTGTGTGAAAGTTGCCAGATCTCTCCCTGCTCTGTGATCAGAGCTGTGCCAAGAGTCTGCTTTGTGTCACACTAGCAGCAGCATTAAGTTCAGCAAAGTAACTAGGTCAAAGATGCAAAGGCAGACCAGAGATCACCGATTAGCACTAATGAGAGCCTGCACCATGGACAGGACAGCACTGCAGTCACCCCCAGGTTCTTGTTGTAACTCGCGGTAGCCACCTGTGCACTTCAACTCCTGCTCCTTACAAAGTCACCCCAAGGCCCCATGACCAGAGAACAACTCAAGGGGAGCCAATAGCAAGAACTAGTTGTTCATTCTGGTATGATTTAGATCAGCTTAAATACAACAAGGGGAAGATTTGAGCTTCCTAAGGGCAGCTCTTCTGAATACATGTGCTGTTGTTTCAGTCACCCAGCACAACCTCTGTAAGCGCATGCTCACGTATAGCAAATACCACTCATGCTCAAGAATTTAATGGTGCATCTGCCCATACCTGCAATACCAGGTGCTGCTAAGATCACCCCACCTTCAAAGAAAACAACAGAAAGAGACAACTGCAGTATTCCCTACTGCTTTAAACAGACTTTCCCCAGGAAGAGAGATCAAAAAGACTGGAGTTATTTAGAGAAAGGAATAAGAGCAGAAACAAGTACCGAATAACACAGAGAAAATCAGTCCTGGACTCCTACATATCCTCGGCAAGGCAGCGTGTTTCCAGCTAATAAAGATAAACGTATGCCAACATAACAGTTAACCTGGAACGCAGAGCAACAAGGACACACCAGGGCAAAGTACATTTCCAGTCTATGGAGGAGTGGTTACACAAAAGGTGATCTTAAGCACAATAAATGAAGCAATTAAGAACATTAGAGCTCTTATACTCTTATAGCATTATGTATGCAAATTTCTCATTAGCTAATCAAGGAGAGGAAAAAAAAAACAGGTATTTCCACTATATCCATTCACTTTCCCTCCAAGTTTAACGAGGCAGGACACAACTAATCTTATCAAAAGAGACCCATTAACCTCTGGAAAACTGAGACACTGACAAGTCACACTCAAATGGACGAATCGTCACCAGCACCCACACGCACACACACGCATGCGACCCAACAAGGCCCAACAAGGAGTTTTATGTCAGGATAAGGACATAATGCAACTCTCTTCAAGATACATAAACACACTTATAAAACAGAAAGTCCAGCAGGCTGTACACAATGGACTAAAGACGATACAGTTGCTGACTCCCAAAGCCACCACATCTGTACAGACTGCTTGAAGGGATCCCTTCATCTCCCTAGCATAATAGCACCTGCCTTGACTTCTCTTCATCCTCTTAATTAATGAAAAACAGAGTGTGCCAATGCACATGCGTTATACTCAGCCATAACAGCTAAGCTAGTAGGTACCTCTTGTTATGAGTGTAATTACAAAAATACTATCATTCATCAACCTTTATTTCCCACTGGTAAAGTTATAGTACATAACACATGTAGACTGCATCTGGAATGTGCCTGTTCAGAACGTGAGGACATACAGAAATTATGCTAAAGGACTGTGGAAGTGATGCCTTGTATCACTTTTCGAAGTAACATGTAAATACTACAACACAGACCATTATGGGAAACACCAGTCAGCCAGAAACTCCAGGAAAGAGCTCAACAAGCTTCCTAGTGCACAGCACCACAGGACAGATAAGCTCCAAAAAGCAACTATTGCTTTTGGGATGCCTCCATTTTGGGAATGTCCAGCTTGTCACAGCTTGCAGCCATCTTTCTGGAGGTGCAAACTGACCGTCAGTGAAATGTTAGCACTTAAAAGCAAAGGCTCCATTTTTCTTGGCATTATACCCATTTCGTATTTCAGAAAATTTGGCAACTAATAACATCTTTCCCCAAATGCTCCTTAAACTTGAGTAATTAGTACAGCATTCCTTGTTATGAGGGGGATGGTTCAAATTAGGACATCAACTCCACAGATACTTCATTTCTTTTTGAGCATGGCACAAGGATTCCTTATTAACTGCTCTCAATCATCAAACAGCTAGTCAAATTATCAAATTTTCTTTAATCAGGCTATTAATTGATACTCAGTAGCAGCAGTATTTTATTTAGAGAAATACAAGCTGATCAAATGGGGTAGGAAAGAACATAAAGTGTTACCCTGTGCTGATTAGCCCTTAAATCAGAGATGAGAGCTGTCAGTCTGTGCACATGTTGTGCAAGATTACTTGCTCCATTAACAGCCTGTTTCTCTCTCGTGAAGTACTCTACTGACAGACCACAGTGAGAACATTTTTTTTCCTGCCAGAATCTTCCTGGAAGTCATCCTTGAAGGACAGCAGATAATGTCATTTAGGAATAATTTGCACACACGCGCGCACCCACATGCACAAACAAATAATGGGCTTTTGCAGGGAGGAAAGGTGGGCCAGAGGGATGCGATTTCCATTCCCTGTCCTTTTCCCTTCTAGAAGGATTACAGCAGGAAGCAGAATAGGCACCATGGTCACCTCAGTGCGTACTAGCAGGCACGCTGAAGCACCAGGGTCTGCCATTGTCTGGTGCAATACAAAAGAGCTTCTGTCTGGAAAGTTCAAGAAAGAAAACCAAGAGCCAGTGGCCTGGTCCTACAGTCAAAAGACTGAAACAGAGGCTGAGAAGTTCTCAAGCAGGGGCTGCTCTGATGCCCTTTGAAGTTGACAGGAAAACTCCCATGGACTCCAGCGCGCACTGGATCATGCCTGAAACGCACAAAAGGCAGCGCAGCATAAAAGTAGAAACAAGCATCTGAGAAAGGTGAAGATGCAGCAAACAAACACTAATCATCCTTCTCTCCCAGTGCCACGAGTGCCCTCCTAACACTGGCTGCTGACTACAACATTTAGCAAACGTGTCAGAGGAAAGCACCACTTTCAATTGCTGGATTTATTAATTTAAAAGCTCTTCACCTTCTCCCTCTCTGTGCCCCTTTGCCCCAAAAAGGCTAGTTTCAAACAATGATAAACACAGACCACTGAAAACCTTACTGAGAACAACACTGCCAGCGTCATCTCTTCAAAAGCAGCAATCTGAGAGAGAGCCCAACCCAGAAGAAACGCTCACAGCACATCCTGCAAACAGCCGCTCAAGCACTCCAAGTGCACGGAGTTTCCAAATCCTCTGCTTAATCAAGATGCAATTAACTTGTACATTAAAGATAGATACAGGAGCACCCAAAAAGAAAGAAATGCCTGCTGAGTTGTATAACACTTCCATAATTATTTTCATGAATACAGCAATAATTGTACTGGTTTCACTTTGGTGTTTTTCAGCTCTCCATGAAGTTTTCTGCAAATTAATTTGTTAGAAAAAATTAAGAACTTCATGTAGCCTTTGCACAATATTTGCAACAAAGAGCCAAAGTGTCCTTTTTACAGAATCGCAGGACGTTTCTTCTTTCCCGGGCTAATAGAATCCAACTGTTGCCGCATGACATCATTCCCCAGAGCTGGAGAATCCAAGCTAGCCCAGGCGCTCGGCTGGGAGTAAACACCGCAGGAAAAAAATTCTTTAAGCGAGAAGAAATAACACAAAAAGGCAATTTTTGTTACCTGAAACTTGGAGCACTTTCCCTTCCACTCCATTCTCAGATTTGTATTTCCCAGACAAAACTCTGTCTTATTATGTGAGGCAATCGGAAAACCAGGCGTTTAGCGTCTAATACCTGCTGTGCTTCCCACAACTCCTTCATATGACCTTTCGCAGCACTGATTCCAGCAAAATGATTGCAGAGCACGCAGACCGGTCGGGCCAGTTGTCATGGAGATCTCTCTCTCTCGCTCGCTCTTTTTCATACACACGCGCACGCACACATACACATGCAGACTTAAACAATCCTGGGAGGCATCCACAAAACAGCATGCCTTTTCATCAGCTCCCTTTTTTGAAGCATTCCACCCCTCCTCCAAGCCCTCCCTTGAGTCAGCCCAGGAAGCTGAGCTTTGGTCATGAATCGATTGTTGAAATAAGAGATATTGCATTTTAAAAAACCAACACAGAACTTGCACATTTTTCCCCCAGGAAGGAAAACAGGATCGTTTGCTTGCCAAAGCTTTGAACTAGAAGCAAACCTCCTTCATTCAAACCTGCAGGCTGTTTACCTTTGCCTGGCTTGTTACAAATTTGCTATCTGAATGCACTGGAGCTTCGCTGCAACAGAGTCATCGCAGGCTCTGTGAAGCACTGCTCGCATGGCCTGGCTGCTTACCTGGCTGTGCTTGCAGGGCCCAGCAGCGGCTCAGTTAGCGCAGGTGCTCATGGTGCTTGCGCAGGACTGCCTGTCTTCTTTCATGTTTCTGTATTCAAGCAGAAAAAGCTGCAGGTCAGAAACACGCAGCAAACAAGAGCAATTCGCAGCCAAACAAGACAAAAAAAAAAGTTTGGAAGTTTTCTCCTAACAATTTTAAGATTATGTGCCTCCTCCCCAAAACCCACTATCTCCCAGTTACAGCAGAAACCCATTTCACTGAAGCCTGAGAATACAAGAACTGATTAATTTAACATATTCACTAGCACCATGGTTTCAAAACAAAAGTAAATCTAAACACAAATGAACACACACAGCATTTTTTCCCTGACAAAAATAAATAAATAAAATAAAAAAATCTAAACATCCTACCCCAGAAATATCCGATATAGGAAAGCATGGACTGATAAATGAGGAGTGAAAAAAAATCTTTTTAAAGGGAAGGACAAAGAACATTTAGTAGGAAAATACAGTAAAGAACAGACAGACTCAGAAGAACATCACTGTGCCTACAGTTTTTACACTCTGAGAAACAGCCTGGAGAGTTATTCTTCAGAGGGTTTAACCAGAGGCAGTCAATCAAAGTTTTAAAGCTTCATAAAAGATATTAAAGAGCCTGCATGATTCTGCTTTCTGCAACATGCAAGATAAGCAACAGTCCCCCTAGTGGGCATAAAAAACACAGAGCTGAAAATAATAACCACGCAGTACTAAATGGGAAATCACCCCCTCTACTTTTTCTCCATCATCCACCTCAATATGCTTTACAGTATCCATCTCTATATATACCCAAGATCCTTAACAATCTTTGCAGTCTGAGGAATATAGGCTATTACTAGCAGCATAAAACAAAATGAGCATTTACAATGATTTTTACTGTATTTAGAGGACATAACACAAGAAACATGTTTATGTACATGGTATTACATAACCAACACAGCTAGGTTTATATATGAGGAGATACAGAAGATAATTTTCTTCCAGTTACACTAGTAGCATGAATTTTCTCTAACAGAGATGTCATGAAACAGGCCTAGAGAGTCTGAGACTGTTTGGATGTCTTATGGGAACACCTGCCTATGCACGGCTATGATAAAATATCAACTACCCTAGAGCATTTTATTGACTCTGCTCCGGAAAAGCTGTGAATAACAAAGCTCCAGCCAACCTCCCAGGTCATTTCACTTCTGCCACCTCACACCGTTCCTTGTGTCAACAGCACTACCCCAAACTACATGAGAAGTATTTTACAGTTACCAAGAAACACCTTAAGGTGGATGACTAAGACAGCTGCTCCAGCTGCCACGAACTCAGCAGGCACTGAAGTGGTGTCACATTAAATAGTTTCTCTAGCCATGGAAAGGGCATATACTAAGGTCATTTGATTCATGTGTCAGAATCCCTGCAGAACCACAAGAATCAAATAGAAAAAAAATATGACATTTTTGCTTTAAAAAAAAAGTCATCTTTGGTTCAGGCCTGAGCTAAACTCACTACATGCTGCACTGCAGGTGGACAGTTTCAGCAGTGTAATTGGAGGAAAAGGGTGCGCAGGAAAGTCCTCCCAAGAAGAAATATTTTCCCCTATGTTGTTGCAAAGGCAGGGCTCAAAGATGTCAAAGTTAATAAATAAATAAATTATACATATATATTGTATGTACATATATATGTATGTATGTATATAAAAGAATTGATCAAGGGACACGTGAAGCAGTCAAGTCTCCTCTATCAGTCTCAGAATTTTTATAAGTCCCATATATTCCACTGTAGCATGTGTCACAAGGCTCTGTGTATGCTGCAAGGGAACATGCACGTTAGCATCTGTAAACAACCAAAAATGCTCCCTGCATTATATATATATGCAATTACAGTCAGGAGTTTCAGACAAAAGACGACGACTTAAAATCCAATATGTGTGCACAGATATTTGAGTACAAAACACACCACTAAACAGTACGGCCTAAACTTTGGCCTTGGGCAGGAAACTAGCACAGAGGACCCCAGAAAGCACCTTTCTGCTCTCAGCCTCATTTGTGTGCTCCTAAACCATTTCTTGCCAAAAGCCAAAGTATGTAGTTCCGACTGGCCAGGGTGAAGCAGGGAACCACTTCCATCTTTTAATTTCTTCCTGTCTGTGTTTTTTCTGTGGCAGCATCAACACCTCAGGACAGAATATAGGATCACAGAGAAAGAACATGATGAATGGCTTATATTAAATTAACTACAAAATACATACTGAAAAGCGGCATGACTGTACTGTTACCAAAAGCCCTTGGAACATGTGTCCTCACCCCCTGCAGCTGCAAAACAACCCATCACTTACACGTGGCTGAGGTTTAGCTTCCTATGCCCGCAGCGCTTCCCATCCGTGCGTGTCCGTGGCGCTCCGTGGCTGCGGAAGGCGCGTGGCAGCCGCGGAGGCGGACGCGCACCAAGGGAGCGGCGCAGCGGGACACCCTGCCAGGGCGCCCGGCCTGGCGCCCCGGCCCAGCAGGAACAGGAGCGGAAACAAACCACATTTGCTCTGAAATGGCTCATGAGATCTTACTGCTTTTGCTAGGTAAAAGCACAGCATCAGCTGGGGCGTTTAAAAAGACAAGAACAGAGATGGGCTGCAGGCTAACTCAGGCATAACAGCTCCACAAAGATTTAGTAGGAATAAACTGGGGAGCACTGCACCAAACTCAGGAACATTTTCCTTCGTTTTCTTTAAAAAAAAACCCTTAAATTCCATATAAAATTACTCATGTAAAATGGCATAACTGCATTTCCCCCCTCTTCAAATGACCTTTCTGACTTCCACAGATGCCTCTCCCTCTTTCCCATAAACACCTTTCTTAATTTCTCTTCCTACTACTCCACAGTCACCATCTTTTCAGTGACCTCACTGGATACAAACCTAATTAAACCTAGATAAGCTTAAGACAAAACAGCAAAAGCTGAAGCCTCAGCACCCTTGTCCTCAGCGGGATCCTTCTTGAGCAGATCCTGCGAAAAGGCGAGTGCCTGCAGCTCCTGCTCACCTCACTGGCAGAGCTGAGGAACTAGCTGGCACTTCCTCATCCCCAGGCAGCAACTTGCAAAGATATGAAAATAAGGGAAAAGAGATAAGCTTGTAACATAATGCAGGCTTGCTCTAGATAAACTGTGCTCCTTACTTTTTGTTTGAAGGCTCAATACTCAGAACTTTTGCTCAGGACAGTGACTTCCAGAGCGGCAAGACGTTGAGTCCAGCAGCACTGCATCTACCTGAGCAGTCCCACTCTGCCTTAGAGGCCTGCAAATTTGACCTTACTAAATCAGGCTTGGCTAGAAGTACAGTATCATAGTAAGCAGCACAGACTCCGCAAACGTTCAAGCAAAGGAATGACCCCACAGGTGAGAGAACTCCCGATTTCCGTGGGACATAGGTGTACATCATTCACCTGTGAGCAACTTGTTCCCTTCCTCCATTTCAATATCAGATCCATTACCCATAATATTTCCACAACTCTCATTTCTAGCAGGACAATTCAAAATTTTCATGATGTCTTTTAATAGCCCAACGAGAATCATGTTTGAAGCACTGAACTGATTTCACTAACCCAGGAAAAAGTATATACATACACATGTGTGTTTATAGGAAATGACTAATCATAGCTGTGCACTTTTTGAGACACTGCCAGGCCTTTTATGGCCCTCTATCCCATTCCAGTTGGATCTCCTTTTGCAAAGGAAAACCTGCTTGCCATACAAGGGGCTGAGCTCAACCTCCCCGCTGGGCACAGGACAGCAACTTGCAAAGGTTGCTAGTGCCCAAGTGAAAGGAGAGCGTATCTGAACCCAGGGAGGCAGGACAAGAACTGACATACATTCAGCTCCTACGAATGGAGCAAAGTGGCTTTACTATGTGGATATTGTTTTATTAGGCTCCAGTTCAGCAAAATACTTAAATATGGACTTCAAAAGCACTTAATATATGTTAAACAGGTGCTAAAATGTTTTACCAAAGAGGTGTCTTAGTAGTGCTGCATATTTGAGAAAGGACAGACAGAAAGAGTTCTTATTTGGCTATTAAGGTTTTAAGATGCTGTTTGGTCATGTAACAGGGACACACTCCCCATGCTCGTTTTACTAATGAGGCTGAAAGCAAACAGCTGAGCAATACACTGAATAATTCCTTAATAAAACAACTTTCAGCCTGAACAACACAGAATTAACTCGTGTAAATGCCTGGTTTGAGAATTATCCATACCTATGGTCTAATTCATGACATTAGACACATATTACAGCTCACACTGCTAGGAAAGCAGTGCAAAGCCAAACAAGCCACAGAAACTGGCTCCGGGCCCAGGCAGCCCATTCAGGCAGCCCTCAACATCCCAGCGCTGCAAACTGCTTCAGCTGGCACCAGGCCAAGGCACAGGCCAAGCTGCAGGGATAACCAAAGGTGGGAAGCTCATGGAAATGACTCCTTCTGCTCCCCAATCCTCCAGAGCCAGCCCTGT